AAAATCCATAATTACTCAAGTCTTTGTTTACAGATCTAGATGCTATAAAATTTAACATAATGTCATGAGGAAGATATTGATTACAGGGCCGTAGCAACCGGGGGGGGGGGGTCTGGCGGGGATATCACCCATACTTTCCTGCAATTTATTCAATATACAGTTAATTACTGAATATTGTAAATTTCGACATATCTGACTATCAGAATTATGTAAAATCTTTCCCAAAGACCAGGAAATGGCATTTCAGAGACTCCAAATTTAAAAATTCCGTCGAGCCTTTCGGCCCTCACTTTTAGCCCCCCCCCCCAATCAAAATGAGCTTCCTACGACCCTGATTGAAGAGTGCTGGACTGATCAAATTTAAACTGTTGCCTCTCGAAATTATATATAGCTTACTTGATCTTTTAAAATTGTTGTCAAGTTTCTAATGAATTAAAATGCGCTATAACTGGACTTTCTGATACAAATATCATTCTTTTTCTGCAAACTTGTTCCCCGTATACCAGTGCCACTGCCTGGCACGAGTTAATCCTGCAGCATGCAGGATCTTGTTGGTTTATAAATTACGCCTAACCTGACCACCACAATTGCACCATTTACAGTCACCAAAAACTGCTAGGAAATACTCCCTAGTAATCTAGAATGACTAAAATTAACACTTCGGCATATTCCATGTAATATCAGATAAAAAATCTAGAACAGTTTGCCTATATTAAAACGGAGATGTGGTATTAAACAGCTAGTTTAACTGTGCAAAATACTGTATACATATAAAATATTAGCATTGTAAATTAATTAACCTTAGCTTTAACCATGTAAATACCATAAGGAATACTTGTGGAGTACATAAAAAATTACGACATTTATTCATACGTATATTTAAACACATTTTACAATGATAAAAACCTCTTTCAAATTTCTGCACCAATGAATTCCCTTTAAAAATATGAATTATGCAGAAAGCTCTGTACGGTTGCCAAGGTAACCATGGTCCTTATATGGGCAACACTTCCATATAGGGAAAACCAATGATATAGAAATATTAGGTGCCAACATTTGCAGTTTTCGTGCAAAGGATCTGTCTGTAGTATTCTCGAACAAGTCAAGCGTATATTCAAATATTTTGGTAACTTTCAGCATGCAACATACAATCGAAGAGAAAAGAAAGATGTGCAATGACAGAAAGAAGAGAAAGCAACATCAGAAATCGCAGTTGAAGCACACAGCTCTTATAGAAGTGATGTCAAAGCAAAAGCTGACCAGCAAAGAAGCATTGCTTCTAAATATTACAAACTTTGGAAAAGAAGTGTTGATGTCAACAAAAAATTACAAACTAAGTTGGACAACAGGGCAAGCACTAACAAGGTATATTCAATTTTTAGTACAAATACATTTCATCAACCCTTTTAAGTTCTATTAATGCACCTATTGAGGCCTATTGATGTTAATCCCAAGGGTGGGAGCATCGGGCATTTGATTTTTCATGCAATCAAATCCCCTACCATGGGGAACAGGGGCAGCAAATATGTGATCAAATGCCCCACTGTTGGGCACACATATCTGTGGTTAAAGGCTGGAAAGTCGTTTGTCCCAGTCCTCAACATGTTCTCTTCCTTTATAGGATGCAAGATGGCTCTCAATTGGTGTCGATCAAATTCCAGAGGGTGGGGAAACAAAAATCGATCAAATACTCCACATATGCCAGACCCCCTGGGCTTACCATTTAAAGGTGCATAAATATAACTGCAGTATATGAATACCATAAACCTCTGATTATAAGCCCCCTCCCCTGAATATAACAATAATGGGCTTATAGACAGGGGGCGTCTATAAGCCCATCACATTACTTGGGGCGTTCTGAGCTCAACATGCTTGTTCTTAGATATAAACGAAGGATTGAATCGTATACTATAATTCTTAATAGATTCTTATTCGATCTAAATTAAACAAACATAACAAATACATATTACAATACTGTCGCTAAATTACATTAATACATAAATAAGATAAACTTACTTCTGTGAGGCTTCCCACGTTTACATCTTGGCGTAAATACTTATTTTATCTGGTTAGCAATACTGGTTAGCTTGTTTTAACTTATATATAAACACTGACTGGTTAGCGGGTAAACCTTTGTTCAGTTCTGCTCTGTTCTGTTCGGAATACTAATGTAGACAAATGTCAATCAAACTATATTGTTTACTTTAAATGTAAGTTGCTGTTAATATTAACTAATTATATTAAGTCTGTCCCGTCAGCGGAGCATTCTCCCCCCAGTGAGATACCTATCTTCATTCATCATATCCTTCTGCAGGCTGGATAACCACAATCTTCGTAATTGGTCTTGAATATTCTCCTGAAGGTGTTCTTACTTTCACGTTTCTAACATTTCCATCTTGTCCGGGATATACTTCGATTATTCGTCCAATGATCCACTTTCCTCTAACTGCATTGTTATCTGATATGATCACAAAGTCATCGATTTTCACGTTGTGTTTCACTACGTTCCACTTTTTCCGTGGTAGAAGTAACAGAAATACATCATTTTTCCAACGATTCCAAAAGGAATTAACAATCTTCTGCACAAATTCGACTCGCCGTGAACACTTGAATTTGACAGCTTTGGCGATGTTGTGAACTCGTATTATCCAATACATACGTCTTGTTTTAACGGCCGTTGTTGCAATCCCCGAATGTTCACATCGGTGGGCTTCTTCTGTAATAAGATGAGATACTCTGTGGCTATACGGTAATAATACAGGATGCTTTGTTTCATAAGAAACGACTGCGTTATCTACACATCCTCCGACTCGTATAATACCGTCAGCATCAACGAATGGAGTCGGCATCTTGAACTCGTTTTTCTTTACTCTTTCAAACTTGTTTGGGCTTGCTTGATCCAGTAAAATGCGACTTCGTTCGAGCTCCTCTGGTGTCAAGGGTCCTTGGTTGGCTTCGCACGCTACGTTATCAGGCCTTATTTTCGCCATCAGGTTATTCTTTAGCCGCAATACCCATGCAGTGACTCTGATTAACTTCTTCCATGTCGAATATACATTGCAATCTATAACACTCTCTTTCGCTGTCGTTACTGCTGCGGATGCTACCGTTTGTTTCTTCCTAACTTCTTTCTCAACTTCTTTGACATCCGGTTTGAAATCTTCTTGTGACCATTCCTCCGTAGGTTTGCGTAGAAAATCTGGTCCTTCTTTCCATCTGCCCGATAATTCACCGACCGTTATTCCACGGGAAACGTCGTCAGCAACGTTGTTCTCACTAGGAATATGTCTCCATTGACAGGGTTGTACATTGCTCTGAATCTCTCCGACTCTGCTTGACACGAATGGCTTAAAACGTCTTCCTTTGCTACGAATCCATGCTAACGTAATTGTACTGTCCGTGAACAGGATAATTTCTTTGAACTGCATTTGTGTTTCTTCTTGTATGGTTTTGCATAACCTACTAGCCAGTACCGCTGCTTGAAGTTCTAGTCTCGGAATATTTAACTCCTTCAGTGGAGCAACTTGTGACTTGGCTGCTACGAATTTCACTGCGACTAAACCGCTCACATCCACGCTTCTTATATATGCACAAGTTCCAAATGCACCTCGGGATGCATCCGCAAAGACACAAAGAATTGGAAGCTCAACTGGGATGAACGGGCATAAACATCTTTCCAAAACTACGTCGTTCAATTTCTTCATCTCCTCGAAAAATGACAACCATTGTTCGTGAGATTCAGGTGAGAGTTCATCGTCCCAATTGATACCCTTTTGCCACAATTCCTGGATCCCAATCTTTGCTCTGATAAGGAAAGCTGATGCAAATCCTATCGGATTGTAGATACGCGCTATTTGACTAAGAATACTTCATTTTGTTATCTTTACTGGTTGGGACTTCAGGATGTCAGGTACAACTTTGTATTTCAACACGTCATCACTGTTGTTCCACACGACACCGAGTACTTTCTCCTCTGATGTTCCTTGAGGGACCTTGATTTCTTCTATTTCTACTGTTGTGTTGTTTTTGTTTAGATCTTCGTTAGATCGCCATTCCTTCACCTTGAAACCGCCGTTTGCAAGTATGTCATCGATTGCGTGTGAAAGCTCCTCCGCTTCTTTTACAGTGTTGACCGAATCTAATATGTCATCCATATACGTATCGTCTTTCACCGTTTGTGCTGCTCTGGGATTTATAGCTTCACCTTCTACAGCCGTCTTCTTTAACGCTATTTGGGCCATAGCTGGCGCAGGTTTATCACCGAAAGTTATCACATTCATAACATATGTGTCAGGTGGTCTGTTTGTCTCCATGTTCCTCCATAGAAATCTGTGGACGTGCTGATCTTCGAGTGGAATTGGAACCCTATGGTACATCTTTGAGATATCCGCATTCAACGCCACTTTGTTTTCGCTGAATCGAAGTAAATCTGGACCTTTGAGCCAATAATCGTTGAGGCAATGACCTTGGTACACAGAGGACGAGTTGAAGACTATCCTGATGGGCGTACTATTGCTTTGAGACTTAACTACCGAGTGGTGGGCGATGTAATGAATAGGACCGTTATAATCATTTATTTCTTTTTCTTCAAGTTTTCTTGCAAAGTTCAGATTGTTCATCTCCATTATCTGCGTATCGTACGCTTTTGCGTGTTCAGGATTCCTTTCGAGTCTGCTTTCCGTTGCTTCGAGTCTTTTCATCGCCTGTTGTCTGTTATCAGGTAGTCTCTTCGGATCTTTCTCCCAAGAATATGACACCATCCACTGGTCACCTACTTTCTTGCATGAATCTTCGATAATCCTTGTCTCGTCTATCTCGATCGGGCTAAGTTTGCTCGCAGTGCATTGACACGACTCTACTGCCACTCCCATTGATTCCATCGTCCAGAATTCTGATAAGTCCAGAGGGACTGTGTATTTGACATGAAATATCTGGCTGGCTCGCAGTGTTTCTCTTGGTTTAGCTCCGAATCCCAAAGGTGAGCTTCTTGCTACTAAATCTCAGACTTGTTTCGTTATGCTCGGATGATCAATACCGATTAAAATGTCAACGGGTCCTTTACCACGGTAAATCTTATCTTTCAATCCCAACTGTTTTGCAATCTCCTTTGTCTTCATTTCAGCGATATCGTCACTGATGGTAGGGATACCGACTGCTTTTATAACAAATCTCTTGTTACTGTCTGGTGGGCTAACTTGAACTTTGTAGACCTTCGTCCTGATTTCTTCCTCTTCGCCTCCAACTTTCGTCAACGTAATCGAAATGTTATCTCCTTCTAGTCCGGGGGTTTCTGCTGTTTCCTGACGTATAAGACTTAATTGAGCTCCAGAGTCCAATAATATATTGCCACGCTTGTATAGGTTGTTTTCTCCATCAATATTCACTGAGATAACTGGAAGTAAGGCTTCTTGGTCCGTCGTAACTGAAGTAACAACTGCTCTTTAGCTACCATTTCGGTGGAGGAGGGGGTGATGGAAATGCACACACTGGACACCATTTTCCTTTTCCGTACATTGCTTTCATCAAGAACAGTTCGACATCCGGTGGTCTCTACCGGCTCTCTTTAAACAGCTATAACAGGTGTGGTGTTCTCTTGCGCATTGTAGGCGTTGGTCATAATTTAAGGACGAAAACTTCGGACATTGGTCCACCCAATGGGATGACGTTTTACAAAGCCAACATCGGTGGTTTGAGAATTGGTCTTCGCCTCCCTGGAATTGCTTTAAATGATTGATTGAATGTTTGCTACTTGTTCTCAATGGTGCAAACGCTCTCATTCTGGACTTCATCTCGACATTCATCCATGTCATTAAGCCATGTAACGATGCTGTTTTCGTGTCTTTCTTGAGATCACGTGACCAAACCTTTCTATCATCAGCACACATCTTTTTTTCAATGCTCGATAACATGTGGCTGTTATCCATATCATTTGGCCAACCAACTTCCTTTAACGTGTTATAACTTCTCTTTACTAAGTGTACAAGTTCACAAAATCAGGCATCTTCGTCACTATTTAATGCTCTAAACTTGACTATATCTTGCATTACTGTATCTGATACTCTAGGATCACCGTAAATCGAGTCCAAGTATTCCCAAGCTGTGTCGTAATTTGTTCCGATGCCCTTAATCAGTTCAAGTGGTCTTCCGTTTAAACATGTTCGTAAAAGTATTACAGCATCACGTTTAGAGTACCTTGGTTCAATAGCGTGCATCTCCCGAAATATTAGGCAATTTTGGTTTTTCCATCCTAAATCCACACGTGCTGTTTTCGGTGGGTACCTCTCCCCCCGTTGCGACAGCTTGACTTCCGGTCGAGACATCATTTGAGACAGGCAGGGCGTTGTCTGGCAAAACTTGCTCTAAATTAAGATTGTTGTTTTCATTTTGGTCGCTATTATTTTCGTTATGAGCGTCACTTGCACTCGCGCTAGGCTGACTGTTCGTTATATTTTCTTCGCTTACTTGTTTTGCAGCTTCATCTAGATGTTTTTTGCCCTCTATCTCAAAATTCATAAAAGCTTCCTGACAATCGGCTAGCCAGGCTTCTTCCGTTTCGAATTCCGCATCGTCTTCGATTAATTTAGTAAGTTCTTCGTGTTTAGTTATCAATTTTTCATACGCTTCTTGTAGCTTAGTTAGCGATTGTTTAACCTCCTCTGCTGGTCGCTGTACGTGGAGTGTATGTCTTAATGTTTTCCCTGCTCTAGTTAACGTTGCTTTGGCATTTCTACGACCGATCTTAGCTTCTTTTAATAACTCTGACATTTTAGTAAACTGTTCGTGTCTCGCTCGCCGTGCCCTTTTAGCAGTTTAATAACACCATATAGAAATCGAATGATGGGGCATTCTGAGCTCAACGTGCTTGTTCTTAGATATAAACGAAGGATTGAATTGTATACTATAATTCCCAATAGATTCTTATTCGATCTAAATTAAACAAACATAAATACATATTACAATACTGTCGCTAAATTACATTAATACATAAATAAGTTAAAGTTACTTCTGCGAGGCTTCCCACGTTTACATCTTGGCGTAAATACTTATTTTATCTGGTTAGTAATACTGGTTAGCTTGTTTTAACTTATATATAAACACTGACTAGTTAGCGGGTAAACCTTTGTTCAGTTCTGCTCTGTTCTGTTCGGAATACTAATGTAGACAAATGTCAATCAAACTATATTGTTTACTTTAAATATAAGTTGCTGTTAATATTAACTAATTATATTAAGTCTGTCCCCTCAGCGGAGCATTACTGAATACTGACGTTCACACCATTCCAAATATAAGCTCCCCCACACTTGTTTATCACTATCACTATACTTGTTTATCACTAAATTCACTCTTACACTATGAACACAAAATGTTGTTCATGTATAGCCCCCCCCCCCCACATAAGCCCAGGGCTTAATCAACACATCTGATTCTGATGTTAGAGAAGAAGATCTTGTAACTGAGGTTCCGGTAGAAATACAGGCTGCTGAGCATGAACAAGAACTACAAGTGCTTCATAAAAGAAGGCAACGAATAATCAGAAACGTTGATGATCAAATCTTGACATCGAATAAAAATCTCTACCAAAGCCACCCAGTACAAAGAAGAACAAAACAAAAGCCAAAGGAACTCGATGTGAATGAAGCAGAACGAGACAATCCAGAGTTCCAAAAGATTTTTAAGGATATGGTACTCTTTTAAAATTACATTTTTGGGAAACAGGGAAAGTATTAACAATTAGTTTGTAAAGCAAGGTTTTGTTCATAAGTGTTTTTTCCTGGTCAATTGATTCAAATTAGTTAATTAGTTAATTAAAAATTTGCCTTAGCATGTCATGGTGCAAAAACAAAGGAAATATATAGTCACACGTAAGCTTCTAGGTTGATAGGAAAACTACCTGAAAACTATATAGCAAAAACTTCAATGAAACCCTTCACTTGAAACCTTGAGGTAGTTATCCTATCAACCCAGAAGCTTAGCGAAGAAGCTACCGACACTGGCACCCCACATTCCTAGTGTACATAAGCAGAAGCAGCCCCCCGATCTGACCCTAACACCCCCCCCCTCTGGAAATACTAAAAAGGGCGCACGTCCAGGGGGTGACTGTTTCTGTTTACGGTACTTGCCGAGTGACGAATCATGACAAATAACGCTTAAGCAAAAAACAATGGAGATGGACCAATGAGATGAACTTCTGTGTAGTATTCTGTGTGTAGCCCGAAGAGTGAAATACATATTAAAAATAGCGGCAAATAGGTTGGTGTGCAAAAATGTATTAAACACATTAAACATTATGGTCTATTTTTCTGAATCGGTGGCAAATATATTTGTTTCATCAGTTATGATGTACCTTTTACTGAATATGAATTTACTGAAGCAATGGTGGAAGAACTTGCTTGATAAATGTTTATTATGTTTTAAATATGCTAAATATGTTACTAAAAATATATAACTGTGTATCTTAACATTAATATTTCACTTGTTTTAATATCCTAAACTGAAACCCTAATCTGTATCCATTTAAAAGCATGCCAAACCAGAACAATGAACTATAAAGCACATCAAATTTTATAAATATAGTGTGTTCAAAACGTATCAGTCAGTTTGTTTACATATGGACTTGACTTGATTTTAATATTTTATAGAAACTTGATTGACTTATATTGCATATATAAATTGTAATATTTGATTGCAAACCCACCAATATATAATTAATGCAATCTATATATTCCAAACTGATGTGAATGAGTTTTTGTTGGAAAAAGTTTAGCACCACATGGGGCTGGCCAGCTGGGATGTGCTTCATAACATTTTTCACATTATCATTGGTTTTGTATGCCATTCCTGTAACACTAGCTCATTCTAAATCACTTTGTACAAATGCTCTACCTAATAATACATGTTGCAGTAATGAAGGACAAGTACCAAGTCTTCATTAAACTTCAATTTTTGGTTGTTTAGGGCCAAAATTTCAATCAAACATAAGGCGATGTAGTGCAACTTACTGTGACTTAAGGCTACTTTGGGCGATTTAAGATGACTTTTGGACCCAGAGTAGGCCTTGGGGAAATGCTGCAAAAGTTCATATTCAACAACTTCTTATTTTACAAAAGCGTGCATTACGACACATGAATTTTAAATCATTTTAAGATCACACAATTCCTCAATTTCTTGCTACCTACACTCTTCCTGTAACTATGATCTATGTTGGGGGTTGACAAAACGAACTGCAAAACTCAAAGTTTAAACTTCGTGACCGAATGACATAACACTGACATGTCAACTCTAGCATTTTTGTCCTTGGTCGCGTAATTTTGAAAACAGGTGTAAATTCATTTAGCTTTTTTCGACTTTCTGAATCCTCAATCCTGATCATTTCAGTCATAATCTTGTACATTAGGGCATTGCTGGGCAACGTAGTTATTCCAATTAGAAATTTCTTGCTGCAATAGTTTTCTTGTTTCATGTTCTTTTGAATAGGGACAAGCACTTTCAGTAAACTGCATTTTGATTTTGTGCAGACCTTGTAAAATACTGTGTAATGACATTGTCAATGTAAGGTCGGGTTTACTATAAATCGGCAAATTTACCCTGCTGCATTTACAGCAAAAATGTCAACAAATATTGGCTTGTGGCCAAATTATGGGTCACTGCCGAAGCCATCTCAACAAATGCGGGTAGGGGACGGACTGCTTACAGCTGCCTATGTAATGTTTTCTGGGGTCCAGAATGGGGTCCAGAAAGGGATCCAGAATGGGGTCCAGAAGGGGGATCCACGTTTTGTCAACCCCCATCTATGTTAAAGAATCCGCTTACATGCTATACGATATATTAAAAGGGGATGCGCCTGAAGCCCTGCAGAAATTATTCACCAAAACATCTGAATATCATGATACAAGAATGGTTGCAAAGATAACTTATACATCAATTCTTCTCGTCTGGAATTACAAAAGCGTTCATTTTCTAGAGTTAGTACTTTAATTTGGAAAAGCATTGATCTTAATCTTCCCTCATCTTGTAAACAGACTTTGAAATCCAATCTTCCCTCATCTTGTAAACAGATTTTGAAATATTTTAAATCTAAATCTTTTTAACCATATTTAAAGATCAAAATGACTATGTTGATGTGCCCATGATAATTGAAATGTTGCCTAATGTAACCACAATATAATCTTCAACTCTCTAATTACTTTAAAAAAAAATTGTGTCATGTATAATATTTTTCATTTAAAAATTATAGCCAATCGTAATCTAAAATCTTGTTCTGTAAATAGTTTACCTTATTCTCAATATAAATCAGTTGTATAATATTATTTAAGTAGATTCATTTGCTTGCTATTGCAGGATTTGAATGTTGTATTGTCATGTGTATTATTCAAATAAAGTTGTAATGTATTGTGTTGTAATATCACAATTGGGAAAATATTTCAACTGAAAGCAGTCAGCCACTCATTCGTGGGGTTATTGCCATTGAAACAATTTCTTGGCAATTTTGAACAACCAGGCAAGTAAATTGTAATCTGTATTAATTCTAAATTATATGGACATTATCTTTCCTCCTATTCAGAAAAATATATCTTATTTACTTTAACCTTGTTGTTCAAACTGTTGTTCAGATTTGCTCATTAAGTGTGAATTGGTCAGGGGTATATGCTTGATGCAAACAAGTTTCATATTTTAAGGTTTACAAATTATAGAATACAAAAAAAACGTAAAATAAACGCTATGTGGAGAAGTGACTATATATGTATATATTGACATTTAATTTGTTATTAATTATTAGGGAAACAAACAGACAGTTTGCATAAATTAGGCAAACAGACATTTTAGCATAAATTAGGGGCGTAGCCAGGACAGTGTTTTGGTGTATTTCGAGCATGGAGATTGTAAAATAAAGAGTTGAGTTTTATAGCTGTTTTTTGTTGTTCTTTAATCCAAAGTTTTATAGTCTTGTGAACATTTGGCAATCTTGCCAGGACGTGTATAGTGTACCGTTATTCGAATGTGATCGATACGATATGGCAACCGAAATAACCAGAGAAAATAGTGAAATCGTAAACGAACAAAACAGTGAAGCGTTGCTAGAAAATATACAGCCAACAACAACACTACAGATTGAAAGTTCTGAGCAAGGTGAGGAAATAGTTCTTTTAAAAAGGCAGAAACGTGCCTTTTAAAGCCAAACATACAAGGCTTAAACATCAGATCGAGATCGAAAAGCTATGTATTACTGATTCGGTACTAGAGTTGGTACTTTAATTTGGAAAAGCATTGATCTTAATCTTCCCTCATCTTGTAAACAGACTTTGAAATCCAATCTTCCCTCATCTTGTAAACAGAGTTTTAAATATTTTAAATCTAAATCTTTTTAACCATATTTAAAGATTAAAATGACTATGTTGATGTGCCCATGATAATTGAAATGTTGCCTAATGTAACCACAATATAATCTTCAACTCTCTAATTACTTTAAAAAAAAAATTGTGTCATGTATAATATTTTTCATTTAAAAATTATAGCCAATCGTAATTTAAAATCTTGTTCTGTAAATAGTTTACCTTATTCTCAATATAAATCAGTTGTCCCGAGCCGACGGCGCACAGCGCCGTGCGAGGTGCGAGGGTAACCTCGGGTACACCCGGGGAAACGAAAGCATTAGGGAAGTCTAAAGTTCATCAATTATCGTGGGCGTGGGTCACCACCAATGATGGGTGGTCATTCTCACTGATCTTAAAAATATGGCAGCCTATCATGAATAGCGGACACTGATT